GTTTGTTACTTAGGAATTTGGAAGCTCCAGAGATGCCAGTGTATTCCGTAAAGGGCCATAACGAAATTATAAATACTTTAGACAGTGTAGGTGGACTAGGAATTGGGGAAGGAGCACCTGAAATCGTGACTGGCAGCCGAGATGGTGAGTCATTGCATTCTGTGTTTTTTAATGTTTTAAAAAATGGAAATCTGTATGCTACAGTATGAGAGAACTCAAAAAACTCATGGAAAGATTCATCTTCTCTTTTACTTCTATTTTTCCACCAATTTTTTGAAGTGCCCTCGGATATTTACGTAAAAGTCCTTGTCAGTTGCCTTGACCCCTAAATCTAATTGTCTTGCTGCTTAATAGGATTGCTTTTTTAACAGCAGGCTTGACTGCATGTCCCTCAGGTTTTTCAGACTTTTGGGTATTTTGAGATGGAGGCACAGCCCTTAGTCTTTTAGTGTTGAGCTAGTTCACCTACTAACAACGATGGTTTCCTCTGAAGCGTCAAGGATTTAAAACGTCGTTACAGGTTTTTGAGGCAGCTGACAATATAATGTGGGCGGCAGCTTTTCATTTTCTTTTTTTAAAAAGCAGAATCAGTACTTGTGAAAATTGTCATAGTGACAGCTGGTTGAAAACTGAAGTTCTGGGATCCATCATTCTGGGATCCATCCGCTGAGCACTGTAGAGAGTTAAAAGGGCTCCAACCCAGCTTTTCCACCCTGCAGCGACCAACAGGGGACAGGTCTTTTGGTGTCCAGAGCTGCTCTGAATGGCTATCATGGAATCAGAATTTAGGTTGCTTCATGAGCGGTACATGAGAGATTTGGTACCTTAATTGATTTGGCTAGTTTTTTAATGGCTGCCCAAGACCATGAGGAAATTGTTTTAAAAGAAAAGTGAGATGTCATTTTCTAATAGGTACTCAAGCACTGTGTTTTAGAAATCAATTATTTTTTTCTATCATCACAGCAATAAGGAATGTAGAAAGAAAAATAACATTCAGTCTACTGTATTACCACAACCATTGGATTTTTCCTTTTGTTTCTGGTCATATATACAATTTTTCATAGTTATCAAGGCGAATATGGTTTTATAGCTTACCTTTTTCTTTTAATGTTTTATCATATGCAAATGTTGTTTCCATATTGTCTTCTTACTTATTATTTTAGTGACTGTAATATTCCATCACATAGTGTACTTAACCATGCCCCTGTTAATAAACATTCAGTTTAAGTATTTTTGTGTATCATTTTGGGAGAGTGGCATTTAATCTTTTATCATATGCAAATGTTGTTTCCATATTGTCTTCTTACTTATTATTTTAATGACTGTAATATTCCATCACATAGTGTACTTAACCATGCCCTTGTTAATAAACATTCAGTTTAAGTATTTTTGTGTATCATTTTGGGAGAGTGGCTTAAAATAATGAAGAATTGAGTATTGTCACGTATGTAACTCTTTTGTATAAACATATGATTTTTTTCTTTTTTTTTAAATAAAGATGACTGGTAAGGGGATCTTAACCCTTGTCTTGGTGTTGTCAGCACCACACTCTCCCAAGTGATCTAACCAGCCATCGGTATATAGGGATCTGAAACTGTGGCCTTGGTGTTATGAGCCCCACACTCTCCCAAGTGAGCCATGGGCTGGCCTTAAACATAGGATTCTGAAAATGTATTGGCAAACTTTCCAGTGTACCTATTTACATTGTCAGCTCCAGTGCTTGAGGTAGATTAACAGTCTACCCTACAAGCATTGATTTTCCCTTTTCCCCCTAATTTTATAGATAAAAATGGATCTTCATTCCAACTTGTTTCTATGTTTGTTTACTAGTAAATTTTGATTATGAATTGTCTGGTTCTTTGCTCATTTAACTATTGTAAACCTACTATAAATCTTACCAATTTGTATAAACCCTGTAGAGTAAGATAATAACCTCTTGTCATATTTGCGGGACATTTTTATCTCCTTGAAGCAACCTTTCTAATGATCAATTTTATTTTATCCCTGAACATAGATCTAATGGAATACCTCCGCCTTTCCTGAGTTCTTAACTCTTTTAAGGACTTTTTGCCCTTTTCCTATTCTCTCACATATATTTGCCTTTTAGCCATTCTGTTACATGAATTTAGATTTGTTATAGTTAGGGACACCATTTACTTAGTAGTCCTGTAATATGAATTAAAAATATGAATTGAAGGTCAGGCTCATGCCTCACTTGTTATGAATTATGTATCATTTGTGTTTGCATCATTAATCATAATTTATTGATAACTTAGGAACAATTGTCGGCTTTTCTGTGTATCTACTGATTTGAAAATCAAGTCAGACAGCAACATATAGGTTATATCTCTGATATCAAATACAACTTACCCAATTAGAAGTAAGAAAAATGTGAATATTTTTCAGATGTCATAATATCTGTAATATTGCCATGTATACAGGAAGCCACAGAAAGTGAATGCAGAAAAGAAACATGATCATTCATTATTGAATTTTGGCAACTTACTTTTACTTATGACAGGAACTGTGAAGGTGTGGGACCCAAGGCAAAAAGATGATCCTGTTGCTAATATGGAACCTGTACAAGGAGAAAACAAGAGAGACTGTTGGACTGTGGCTTTTGGTAAATTATTGAGGAATTCTTGTATTTGAAGTATCAGGTGGTAGAAAGCACTGTGCTTTAAGAAATTCCTAATAGTCTCTTTATAGTCTATTTTGTGGATTTATTCTGATAGTTTATTGAAGCAAATGTACATGATGGTTATTGTTAGCCTCCGGGGCCACACTCTGCTACTTATTGGCTGTGTGGCCTGGGCAAGTTACCAAACTCCTCTGTTCCTTTGTTGCTTCATTTATAAAATGGGATTAACAATAGAATTGACTTAATCATGTTTTTATAAGGATTCAGTGAGTTAATACATGTAAAGTGGTTGGAATTGTGCTTAGATTATTAAGTGCTCAAAAATATTTAGTATTATAATAATTATTATTATTATGTGCTCCTGTTTAATTGGATGATATTGATCTAGTTTCGAACCAAATGCCATTAATGGGGCTACAGTGAGCCTCAAATGTAAATGGTAACCTAACAAACCTTACACTTTACATTATGCTTACTTTCTACAGAATAGTTTGCCATTACAAAATTATTTCTTATAAATTTGGTAAGTAAGTTCCACTATTAATGCACTTAACTGTGTTCCTCCATTAATGAATGTTAATTTTGTATTACTAATTGATATTTGCCCTTGGCTCTCTTGCTGAGCACCAAATTGATCGTAAATTCATTTTTGTTACTAAAGGATATAAAACATATTTAGGATTTTTTTTATTTTTTTTTTCTCCCCTCAGTTTTTTTTATTGTTGTAAAACATGCATAACATAAAGATTATCATTTTAAGCATTTTGACACATACAACGGGGGGGGGGGAAATTTTAGGTAGAATGATCGTTTTAAATTGAAATTATAATTAAAAAGTAATTATCTTTGGGCCCATTAAAGCCTCGTCATTGTCAATCTCAGGGACATAAATACAATTTGAAATATAAGATATTTCAGATGTCCTTGCAAAAACAAAATAGCACCACAAAAACATTTTGCAAAATAGATTAGTTTTTTTTTTGTCTTTTGTCTTTTTTCCGTGTCCGGCAACGGATCGCAACCCTCAGTGTTGCCCCCGTACCGGACCGGGGACCGGCAACGGGATTGCAAACCTCAGCGTTGCTCCCGCGCCTCGCTCAGCCAGTGAGCGGGAACCGGTCCGAAAATAGATTAGTTTTAAAGTCATTTTTATTTGCATTCATGGATAGTTACTGACAAAGAAGGTAATAGAAGAATTGCTGTATTTATCTTCCCGTTCCCTGCTGTGTTTGACCTGTGGTTGACCTGCTGGTCTTTGCAGATATAATATAGAGAGAACATGTTATTTCAAAAAGTCACTTTTATTTGCATTCATGGATAGTTACTGACAAAGAAGGTAATAGAAGAATTGCTGTATTTATCTTCCCGTTCCCTGCTGTGTTTGACCTGTGGTTGACCTGCTGGTCTTTGCAGATATAATATAGAGAGAACATGTTATTTCAACTTAGAATCCACTAAACACTTTCACATATCCCTTCAGTACAGAATTTAAATGAATGAGCTTTTTAAAAAACATTCAATATTAGATACCAAATTAATAAAAAAATTCAATATTAGATATCAAATTAATATTCTTGATGTCCTGTCAGGATTGGTAAAATGGAACTCCACCTAATATGATTTTTAAGATCCAATTTGTATAAATTATACAGGGGTACTTCAAAAAGTTCATGGAAAAATAGAATTAAAAGGTAATGAAAATCTTTCTGTGAACATTTTTTGAAATACCCTCATCTATGTTGTTTCATAAGATTTTTTTAGCAGCCTTCAAATTCGCTTTTATAAAGATCTGAAATGTTGTATCCTGATTTCC